GGTACCAAAAAAAAAAAAAAAAACAGTCAACGACATGAAAGGTGGGACAGGGAATGGCCCTACCAGATTGTATTTCAGTCACACATAAAATAATCCAACTACAACTTCTAAATGTCTCTCTCTCTTCTCTTTTTCCTTCCTTTTTATAGGACTAGAGATTGAACTAGCACTCTTTATTTTTTAAATTTTGAGATAGTCTTATTAAATTGCCTAGGCTGGGTTTGAACTTTCTGTTTTTCTGCCTCAGCCTCCTGAGTGCTGGGATCACAGGTGTGCACCACCATGCCTGGCTGAGTGTCTCTTTTTTATTTTTTCCCTCAGTACCAGGGATCGAACTCAGGACCTTGCACTTGTGAGGTAGGCAAGGCGCCACTGAGCTAAATCCCCAGCCTTGAATGTCTCATTCTTAATGTGAGCCAAGAACCAAAATTCTTTGATATCTGATATTCTGCCTAATATGGCAAGGAATAAGAGATTTTACATATGTAACACATGTCTCTAACCAGCTGAATTTAAGCTTATTAATAAAGAATACTGTACAAGGTGAGGTTCATTTGGGTGTGTGTGTCTAGAAATTAGAGACAGAAGTCAGAAAAAGACTTTCCTGCTGGCCTTGAAGAAGTAAAAACTGCATTATGAGCTGCTGAAAGAGAGAGACAGTCCCTATAAGCTAAGATCTTCAGTTCCACAACTGCATGGAAATTCATTTTGCCAACAGGAGAGACTGGAAGAAGATCCCAGACTACAGATAAAACCCTAGTCCTAGCTGACACTGGGTCACAGCTTTGTCAGACCCGGAGCAAATCCACTGAGGTCCCCTGGACTCCTGACCCACTGACACTGTGAAATATGTTCTTTGAGCTGTTATAGCTGTATGTGTCACACATCACAGAAAAGACAGGCCTATCCAGAAAAAAGGTAAATTTTATTCATGTAAATGATACCTCAATAAACCAAACTAAAAACATGAGAGTAGAAATGGAGATTTCTAGAGTAGGGTTATAAGATAAAATAGAAGAAACCACCCAGAAAACCTAAAGAAAGAAATGGAAACATCAGAGAAAAGGTAAGAAAAGGAAATGACCAATCTATAAAGATCAGTATCAAAATGAAAAAAAGTTTCTGAAGGGAAGAAAACTAAATCATATCAGGTGTGGTGGCACACACCTGTAATCCCAGCACCCTACTGTCTGAGGAGGAAGATGGCAAGTTTGACCCCAGCCTGGGAAACTTAGTGACTTAGAAGATTCTGTCTCAAAATAAAAAATAAATTAGTAAAAAGTTTGGGGATACAGTTCAGTGTGATGGCCCTGGTCTCAATTCCAAGTACCAAACAGACAAAAAATGGAAATCATAACTCAAAATTTTCAGAAAATCAGAATGTAAATTTCCAGTTTTAAAGGTCTTATCAGATGTCCATCAGAAAAAAAAAATTTTTAGTTTAAATAAAAAGACCTGACAGGTTATCAAACAGTTAAATTAATAAGAACCAAGAACCAAAATGGCTTCAGGCTCTTAATAACCCTAGAACAGTGATAGGGAACCCTTTAAACCTTTCAATGATAACAAACACCCCACTGTGGTACATGTGCCGTAGGTTCACCACCACTGCCCTAGAAGCTAGAAGACAATGAAGAAATGAAGAAATATTAAAGGAAAAAAATTTCAAATGCAGAATTCTCTGCCAAGGCAAGACATCAGGAAAAGCCTTCTCAGAAATGCATCTCCCCACAAACTTTCGTCTCCTACAGGTTTGTTTTGGGGGGTGGGCGACAAAAATCTGTAGTAGAATGGGCTTTACCATAAGGGGAAAAAAATCAGGAAAAAATTGTATGAATCAACAAAAAGGTTTCTAACACAGGGGACAGCTGAGGGTATCCTCAGTGTAACAGCTGACAAAAAGGACAGCAGCAGCCCACTAGGACAGGCCAGAGGACTTCAAGAAAGACTTCTGTGGGAAGATAAAACTTAGAGAACACACAAAGCAACTAAATATATGCAGGGAAGAGGTGAATAAAAGGTGAAACGCCAGGAGTTGTATACTTATAATACACAAAAAACAAAGCAAATAAAAAACAGCATCTCTAGTAACATAAAAATTTGTATAGGTCAATACCAACATAATATATGAAAAGACTCATATAAGCATATAATTTACAGAGTCCTAATAAGAAAAAACTGAGTACTGATCTACCCACGATCACAGTTTAATTGTATTGGGAGGAAGGTAGTGAAAGAGGTTGGAGCTTGACCTTTCAAGTGGGAAACCAATAACTGATGCCTATACACAACCAAAATTCAGATATAAACATGTTATTAAAATATTTAAGAATTTTAAAAAGCAGTCTTCTTAGAGAAAAAAGAAGGAAGAAAAAGAAAGCAAAGCGTTCCTGTTCCTTTCCTCAATAAGCTTTGCATAAATGTTTGTTTCTTCAACCCACCTGCACCAATAATTTGGAAGGGAAAAAGATGAAGGCTGTGCTGATCGTCACATTATCTTTTTAAACCCCCATGCCTGCTGATTACATACTTCTACTTTCAGAAGGGGGAAGGGAGAACGAGATCTTTTGCCTATAGAATTCATTTTAATTTCCTCTGTTTCATCTTGAAAACTAACTCTTGCTTTACTTTTGGAATCATTAAAAGTTTTTTTTTCCCTAAAATAATAACGAAGTGTGAGTTTACCAGTTTTCTTTTTTTCTCGTTTGGTAGGACAATTAATATAGTAGTGAACCAGCAAGTGCTCTGTATTGCTTTTGACCAGCTCTCCTTTGGATTCTCAGGTACCTAAGTACCTAACTTTCAAAGTCAAACTCAAAGCAAAGGCAGAAAAGGATATCCTGGCAGCACCACCCCAAAATGGTGAGTCTCTGTCAAAACCCACCTTTTATTTTTTTCTAAAGGTACTGGGGATTGAACCCAGGGCCTTCACACTGAGCTCCATCCTCAGCCTAATTTTTATTTTTTATTTCAAGACAGGGTCTCGCTAAGTCTCCCAGGCTGGGCTCAAACTTGAGATCCTCCTGCCACAGCCTCCTACACAGCTAAGTTTACGGGTGTACACCATCACGAACCCAGCTTCCATCTATTCTATTTGAGGAAAATGATTTTTCCTTACCATCAAGTAAGTGTACTGCATTAGGTCAAATGGGCCTCTATCCAAACATCTCTAAGTCAGAAAATATGTGTGCTAAAGGACCATATCTCTCCTTACAAAATATAAACAATAAGCAGAATCGTGTTTTTAAAAGATTTTTAGATAAAAATATAAAATGGTTTCATTAAGTGCACTGTCAAAATGGCAAGGAAACTAGTGGTTTCCAGTTGAGGATAATGTCAATGCAATAGTCTCCACAAAGTTAAAAATTCTGAGACTGTCCTTCTTACTTTTTTGTTGTTACAGTGTAGTTCCTGGTGTAACAGAAGAACTGTTTTGCAAGTGTATACTTAGATGTTCCACTTGTATATGTGCACTCAACTAAAACAGGTACTCATGTCCAGCAAATGACACCTAGGAGAAACTTACTAACATCTTGATGTCTAGCAGTCATCAAATGGAAACTACTCAAATGGCCAGCAAAAGTACAATGGAAAAGTAAGATTCTGGTATATTCATATACTGGAAACTAGACAGCAATGAAAAATAATGAGCAATGAAAAAGAATGCAATGACATGGATGAATCTCATACGCAGAATGTTGAGCCAAAGAGGTCAGACTCGAGTACATGCTGTATGATTCCTTTCAGATGAAGTTCAAAACAGGCAAAACTAATCTAAAGTGTTTGCACACAGAATACAAGCAGGCAGAGGGGTCTCACTGAGAAGAAGCATGAGGAATGGAAATGTTTTATGTCTTGATATGGATAGTAACTACATGGGCATAAAGTATATGAAAAAGATCATTAACTTGTAACTAAAGAAACATTTCATCATTTATAAGTTATACCTGAATAACAATCTTAGAAATTATGAAAGAACTGAGATATTTTAACATCTTGTAACATTTTTGTCATAACAGATGACAGCAATTACTAATATCCACACTTGCAATATAACAAGTCAGAACTCTATATTAGTATCCCCAATAACTTTTACTCCACTTTTTATTTTGAAAAAGTATAAATCTACAGAAAAATTGAAAGGTTAGTACAATTGACACCCATAACCTTTCATGTAGCTTTACCAACTGTTAACACTTTGCTATAGTTACTTTCTCTCTTCCTCTCTCAGTTTTGGTTGAACTATTTGAAAATAAGTGGCAGACAAGGCACGTTATCCCCGAAGGACATTCTTTTACATAACCAAGTGGTATCATCACACCTAAGAAATTTAGCACTGACTATATCAGAGTCCATATTCCAAGTGCCCTCACTGTTCTACAACTGTCATTTATAGATTCCATTCATCTCCAATCTAGAAACCCACCGCGAATTCATGCATTGCATCTGGTTAGCCTATTTCTCCTTTTTTTTTTTTTTTTTTTTTGGTACCGGGGATCGAACTCAGGACCTTGTGCTTTCGAGGCAGGCAGCGGAACCACTGAGCTACATCCCTGGCTGGTTAGCCTATTTCTTTTTTCTCGTTTGTTTTGTTTCTTGAGACAAGCTCTCAATATACACAGTCTAGGCTAGTCTCAAACCCACAATCCTACCACAGCCTCCTAAGTGCTAGGATGACAGGCATGTGCGATCACACCCAGCTCTTGGTTATGCTACTTTTGAAGCGAGTCTCTGCTTCAACCTAGTACACCAAGTTCCACAAACCCCCCTTTTATATTACTTTTGGCCTTTTATGGCATTAACAATTCTGATTTAATATAGTTTTAAATTTTCCTGGGAAGTCTGCCAATGATTTATAATTTTTAGTATCTTTTATAATGCTTATCACAACATTAGTATGAAATACCTTTATCCTGACAAATATAAATGAAACTACCAAATACAGAGACAGGATAGTTCAATGTTTACACATGGTTTATGATCATTCTGTTTGAACTCACCGCTGAGTCTGAGCTGGCCACGGTGTCTGGCTTGGTGTGGGCACTGAATTCGTGGGGCTCACTAGCATGGCACTGTAGATATTGGAAGCGACCACAAGTATACAGAGGAGTATGGGCCCAATAATTGCTCCTTCCAGGCCTAGGTAGTAAGCTCCTCCAGCCACCGCCAAACCTGTCAGGTATGGGTGGCCACCCCTGAAATAAAGAGCACATTTTAGTTCAAGACTTTTAACAAAGATAAATATCAGAATAAATCTGTAATACTTTTCCAGCATAATGGTGATTCTTTAATGCACTAGGCTTTTTAGTATAAGCCTTCTTTAGGTTACCTCAGTGCAGACAACTCAACATTGTAATACTGATATACAAGGTTTTCTTGCCTATGCACCAGTGTGTGACATTTGCTTCTTTTTACCAGGTTAGTAATTGGAAGAATAAAGTCAGCACTGTTAACAGATACTGTGCGTCCTTTATAGGTGGCTTCTGAGAGGATTAATGCTGGCTCAGGACTGATTACCTAAGCAACCTGTTAGGTTTACAACCATCAAGGATAATTACGTGGGCACAATTTAGCATTTACTCAAGTTAATTACGTTTTTTATAAAACAGCAATAATAACAGCATTCCGGTTATTTATAGGGTAGACTTCTTGCAACCTTCTAACAGTTTTGAACACAGGTAATTAAGAAAAAAAGGCTCATGAGGAAGGTATCTGTCAAAAAAGTCCAAAATTTTCATTTCATAGGACAGTCAGAATTGTCCAACAGGCTTATCACAGTACCACTTACATAAATGGAATGAAGCAAGATAGATTATGGCAGCACAACGTAGCAAAAAAACATGACCATTGACGTAAAAGGGACTAGGAAATAAGTCATGTCCTATTTGTCTTCAGTTTTTAAACACAGATGAATGGAACAATTTAGTAAGCCACAAATAACTACAAACCCCTGGTAGGATGTTCTACAATATATTACAGTTTAATATGTAACAGAGTGGTGAGCTGGTCTTCAAGAAACAAGTACATTATGTTCATAATTTATTTGTCTTCTTCATTTTGAAAACAGGATTTAGGCCGTAGGCCATGTATGCTAAGTAAGCTTGTTCCCTAAATAATACATGTAAAGAATATGGTTATAAAAAATGCTTGAAGCTTTCTGTAAAAAACTTTTTTATTTAAAAGCTTCATTTAAAAAAAAAATTATTTCAAACTTTTCATTTTCTAATGACAATGGTTAAAGTAGTTTATTATTAAAATAATATAACAAATCTTAAATTCTACCCTTTTTTTTTCTTTTCTTTGGGAGAGGGGGCTGTACTAGGGATTGAAACCAAGGCCTTTGAATGGAGCTACATCCCCAATCCCTTTTTTATTTTTCATTTTGAGACAGTCTTGCTAAGTCACTAACTTGCCCAGACTGCGCTCAAACATGTGATACTCCTGCCTCAGCCTCCCATACACACTGAGATTATAAGCATGTGCCATCACGTTAAGCCTTAATATAAATTTATACCAAAGCTTAAATCAATGGCAGCACTTACATATAAATTATATACTTTTTCCTACTATTTAAATTCCAAATAGTAAGACACTAATTAACCACACTCTGATATTCTTTTAATTTTCTCTCCAAAGCTCCCCTCAGGGTGGCTTGTGGCGTGGCTTGTTTCTTTTTGTTCTGGTACTGTGGGGCGTCAGAGCTCTTCTTCATCAATTATTTTCTACTTTAACTTACTTGAAACACACAAAGGCCTCTACATAATTTAAATTAACTGCAGAGTACTATTTCTATAAACTAAGACCCTGGCTAGCTTTAATTTACTTCAAGAAAACTGACTATGTCAACTATTTTGATAGTTTCATAGGTCATACTCTCAATGTTCCATCATAATCCGTACTTTAAAAAGCAGTGTGAATCTAGTCATCTGAATGTTAGCTGAATTTACTTGATACAACTTCATTTTTTGTGGGGAGGGTAGTTGAGGGTTGGGACAGTGCTTACTATGTAATCCAGGCTAGACTAAAACGTGCTATACTCCTGCATCAGCCTCCCAAGTGCTGAGACTGTGGGTGTGAGCCACCACAACCAGAACTGGACACAATTCTACAAGAGCTAGAAAAACTTACAAAAATGGAAAGATACATATGACCAAAGTTATATGACCAAAGTTTTGATTTTGACTTGAATTTAATCTGTTTGATCTGTTTCAATGAACCACACTGTCAAGAGCTCTGTTTACCAAATATTAATCTGTCAAGATTTAGTTTTACATGGCACTCTTCAGACATAAATGCCATAAACTTTTTCCCCAAAATCAAAGACATGCTAAAATAACTACTGTTTACTGTATTTATTTTTTTCATCTAGTAATGTTTCTTTCCCTGACTAAATGTCACAAAATCAAGAGAAAATTTATTCACAATTTTAGCCCAAGGTATCCTATTTCATAAATATAGAACTTACATTATAACAAAATACCGTATCTTGCAAACAATGTTATTTTAAATTAAAATTTCATTATATCAGAGGGAACATAGAAAGTTACTTTACTGAAAAATCCTGCCACCAGTTCCTTCTCCCAAACTGTTCTATCCCACTCCCTGGCCCCCAAAACAACCTCCTTCAATAAACAATATAACTCCCTGCATGATTCACCATTAACTTCAGAATACTTACCCTGATATGTCAGAATAGATGGCAGTATCTACAAAGTAAGTTGGCAAGAGATGAAAAACCAACAGCAGAATGGCCTTGCATCCTAATCCCTGCGTCAGCCACAAGTCTAGAACTGCAGGGACCGCTGCCCAGTACGTCCCCAGGAAGGGCACTGCTCCAAGGATGGCTGCTAAAGCTAATAAAACATTAAAAGAAAAGCAACTTAACAACATCTGCAAAACAACCCTAACAACAGAAAGCACTAGCTCTGCCTACTTAAAAACAGCCACCAAAACAAGTTATACAGATACACATAAATTCTTCTTTAGGGGGAATGATATATGCACTGTCTAACCAAATTTTCTTGTTAAATTTTAAGGTATTGGACCTTCATTTATTATTGAAAATCTTCCTAAAGTGTTTCTATGAATCTATTCTTAAGTGATAAAATCTTACTGTTCTACAGCTGTTAACTGAATTGATAGTTAATATATGGTCCTACAAATAAAATTGTAATGTGTTTGTCAAAATTTGTAGTCCAAAGTCAAATAACAAATTAGTTTCCAGGCCAAGTGTGGTGGCAACTAGCGCTCAGGAGGTTGAGGCAGGAGGACTGCTATGAGTTTGAGGCCAGCCTGGGTTACATAGTGAGTTCAACACCAGCCTGAACTACAGAATGAGACCCTGTCTCAAAACAAAGAAGAAATTAGTTTCCAAATTCCACATATCAATGTATATTCTTTACTTTGCTTCTAATGAAAATGAAATATAAACACAAATAAACAGACAAAAGCCCTGTGAGTTAATGGACCTGACTTCAAGCTTGCCTACTTCCAGAGCAGTATGTACAAGCACTCAGTCTCCATCTGGCTTCCCTCCAGACTAAGAGGCAACTGTAGTCTGACCATTAACCATGTTTGGAAAACTTTGGTTTCTCGTCTATACAACAAGAACACCACGTACCTGCTTGTCTCACAGGTTGATTAGAAAATAATAACCCCCACATGCTCTTGGGGTGCCTCATGTCAGAGGGTCAGCTAATGGTTACCAGAGGAGGAAAGAACATAAATTAACTTGGGAATGTAAAGAACAAACAAGGAATACATAGAAGTGGGAGAAATGATGGCAGAAGCAAACATGGAAGGCAGAGAGATTTAGGAAAACAAAGCAACAGGAATAAAGGAAGAAAAACTGCAAGGAGAACGAGAAAAAAGAACAAGACAGTCACTAAGCAGCTTATGTGCTCTCAGATACATTCATCTGGCTTCTGGAACAACATCCTTCCTGGGACAAAGCTATTTGACAACACAGTGCTCCTACCAATTAGTTCAATTCACACATTGGGCACCAAGTCCTAAGATATTCATTCATTTAACTAATATTTATGTACTGATTTCTATGTGCTAGGTATGGTTTCAGCTATTGGGGTTACAGCAAATAGACAAGCATATTACAAACCACATTTCTGCTCCTATTCTGAACTACATCTTGAGCCACAAAATTCATTCTAAATTTGAGGAAAAGGACATTTCCTAATGTCTGTAAAATGACTAACTCACTCCTTCAACAGAGGACAGTGGAAGTTGTAATGTGATTGTTACCTGATGGTATGAAGACAATATTGATGCCAAATATAGTATGAGTCAGCCAGGTATACAATCCATAGAAGCCAGCCATTTTGAGGGAAGCATCAAACACCCCTCTAGAACACCCAAAGATAAAAGAAAAAGTTAATAAACACATCATAGGTCGTTCAGAAAAATAAGGATTTTGAGACTTCTGGCTACTTCATCCCAAATCTGTTAATAATTTTCAATTTTTCTACTAGCCTGAAAATACTTTCATGTTATTGCAAAAAATTATAATGACCTTATTTTAACACCCTAAATTTTACTGCAAAGAAATATACTTTACTGTAATACCCTAAAATCTTTACTAAACTGTTCTTTAAAATTCTCTGATTAAAAATATAATACTTAAAATACCCTATTCATTGAAATAATTCATCAACTTTCCATTTCTGAAGGAGATATTTCACTCATAATGACTATTTTTTATAAGTGTAAAGAACATATTTCTAAGTATGGAATTAAACTATAAGATACTGTCCCCCGCCTCAGAAAGAGCTACTGGGGTGGGGGTGTAGCTCAGTAACAGAGCACATGTATAGCCTGGCTCAAGGACCCAGGGAAGAGGGTAGGGGGAACACAGGAGAGAGGGGAAAGGGGAAAGATGGAAGAGAAAGGGGGAGAGGGAGGAAGAAAAGAAGAGACACAAGCGAGGGAGGGCAAGTAAGGTAGAATCAATCTTTCTTTTCTTGGTAACAAAATTTTCCCACACTTCTTCAAGTACAAAGTAACTTCTCCTTAAAGGAGAAGGTTAGTAAAAAGAATTTAGGAGAAAGAAATTATTTTAAATTTTAAATTTTACTCCAACGTAAAATCAAAGATGAAAATACAGTGAGTTAAAACAGCCATATACTCCATGACCGATAGGAGAACCCGGTACATGAAGATTTATAACACCAGGCACTTTGTTTTTTGCTTTTCATTTGGAAGATCAGTAAGGCATCACTGTATAAGAAATAAGGACCGTGCAGAGACAGCACCAAGCCAGCAAGTTTTTAGTGGTCCCGTGGCATCACAAAACTATAAAAACCAGTTTCTGCAGGGGCAAGGGAAGCATGCATTCACAAGAAGGAAAAACTATAATCAAAAAGCAGAGACTGTGATGCAAAGGTAGCAATGTACACACAAGTAAACACCAAGCTTTCGCCAAGTGTCCCAGGAGGTGTGTTATACAAGCAAAGTAAAACTTAGGAATCTGCTGATTCAGTTATTTAATATGAGTCTGGGCATGGATTTGGTGAGTGGTTCCCCAATTACAAAACCCTCTTTCCCATCCTGACAAATCACTTTCACTCAAATGTCTTTTTTTTTTTTTTTTTTTTTTGGTACTGGGGATCAAACCCGGGTCCTTGTGCTTGCGCAGCAGGCGGCGAAACCACTGAGCTAAATCCCCGGCCCCAAAGATGTTTCTTTTCCTTTTTTTTTTTTTCTCTTTTTTTGGTGCCAAGGATCAAACTCGGGTCCTTGCCCTTGCGAGGCAGGCAGTGGAACCACTGAGCTAAATCCCTGGCTAAACTCAAATGTCTTATAGGCACCATATGACCCTTCCCAACAGGACCTAGATTAAGGTGGTATCAGAAAGACCAAAAGGAATATAAAAAGGACCTGAACACTCACTGAATAGAGTCAGAGGAAAAAGAGAAAATGACCATGTGTTTTAGGCTTTAAGCTTGGGAGGAAAAGGGTAGAAGTATCTCAGCTATGAAGAGGGCCAGAATGGAAGAGAAATGGAAGAATGGGAAGTAGGTTTACTTTGGGCAGTATAAATTAAAAAGGATTATGAAACCAGCTGGGGAGAAACTGAAATAACAGAAAGCTAAATAGAAAATTCAGAACATTAAGATTGGAGGTGCACCAGAATAGATACTTATAGGAAAGGAAAAGATATTGTCAAGCGGCAAATGTAGAGAAAATTGGGCAGCAGACTGTATTTTCAAGGGGACCTAAGGACAAAGATACAGCAGTCGAAGAGGGCATGAAATCACTTTTGTAATAGGAGGAAAATCAATAGGGTATAATATTCCCAAAAACCAAAGGGGAAGATGCTGTTGAGAAGGGAAAATAACAAGGTCAATCGAGGGGGGAGGGGGGAAGGAATTTGCCTAGAACTAGAGATGGCTCAATGCCAAGGGCATTACTTCAAAAATTTTAAGCCAAAAATAAGCTGACACCAAAAGTGCAAAAGAATACCACAACTGAATCATCCCTCTAGACGGCAAAGCAAAGCTCAATCCAAAAAAGACAAACTGTAGGAAACAACACATAGTCTCCTTTCTTTTACCTCTGGGAATATGACTGTAAAACTCTCATTAAGGCAATTTTTAAATAATTTTGTGGGTCCTAAATGCACTAGATATTGTTTGCAGTTACTAAACATATTCATGCAACCCAATGAGGAATGAAAAGAGAATACATTCCCCTCTACTGTACTACTCATGATCTGGCACACAAATTTTATAAAACAGCAGAGTAAAACATCCTTTAAGAATTTACTAGAAAACAGAATTTTTAACACCCTTAATTTCCTAGCAAGTTTTTCTTCCTTCGGTGTATCTGCTTTATTAACTATAATATACAAGTACTAAACCTTACCAATTCTAAATGTGTAGGCCAATAAAGCTCAACCTAATTTACATAATCATTACTGCATTCAGAATATTTCCATCACTCCAAAATGTTCCCTTGTGCTCTTTAAAGTCAACCCACCTCTAACCCGACAGCCACTAGATGTGCTTTTTCACTATAATTTTGCCTTTCACTATAATTTTGTCATGTAGCTTTTTAAAAACTGTGGTAAAACTATAAGTAATATTCACCCATCTTAATCGCATTCAGTGATTGCAGAACAGTATACACTGTCAGGATGCACCTTTTGGTGTTTGGACACTTTAACCAAGGGATAATGCTTCTGAGCTTATCCATATTGTTGACAGTATTAGCACTCTGTCCCTTGTCACTGCTGGGAGTATTCTTTTATATGAGTATCTACCCCTCAGTCATCAGCTGCTGTACCCAACTGGACAGTTTTAATGCTATTACCAACAATGCTGCTCTAAACATCTGAGTGCAAGTCTTTGTGTGAACATATACCTTCATTTTTCCTTAGCAAATATCTAGTAGAGATAGTGGGTTATGTGATTTCTATTTGGCTTTACAGTAATTGGACATCAACAGAGAAGTCACAATCGCCTACATCACATAGTATCTCAACTGCACATTTACAGTATAATGTGAATGAATACTGGCAGAAAGAGCAATCAGTTCAAGAAAAGCTAAATGACAATGGATCTGAAGATACTAGTAACTGACCCTGTGCACATTAGCTGCTCAATAAGTAGCAGCCGTTTACTGGTGCTACTGTTGTTATCAATTCTTGATACTGGTATACTTTCCCAATATCCAGAGGATTGTGATGAAAACTGGAAGTTTGCACCTCATAAGCTGAGGGTATCTGAATTGAGAAGGGAAGGTCAAGAGAAAGTAACTCTTGCCAGGCACCCATGTGATAGGCTGAATAATGGCCCTACAATGTCTATACCCTAATCTTCAGAACTTCTGAATATGATACCTTCCAAAGCAGAAAGAACTGTGTGATTAAGAATCTTGAGATGGAGACATTATCCTAGATTATCTAGTTAAGCCAATTATACAGGTCCTAAAGAATGAAATGGACCTGGTTGGGTGTGGTGGTCCATGCCTGTGATCCCAGCACTCAGGTAGCTGAGGCAGGAAGATCACCATGAGTTCAAGGCCTAGGCTACACAGTGAGTTCAAGGCCAGCTTGAACTACATAGTGAGACCCTGTCTCAAAAAGAAAAAAAAAAAGATGGACCCTTATTTCACAAAATTTACAATAACTCAAAATAAATGAACATGTTCCTGCTGGCTTGAGCCATGGATGACTGACCCATTGAGGAGCTTGTACCACTCATGGTATAAATGGATCTAATCACTTTTATCAGTCTTTCTACAAATAAAATTAATAAAAAGCCACCTAAAGCATGTACCACCGGTGGTTCAATCCACTTAGCAGGAAGACATACAAATTACAGCCCAGTCATGAACGTGTTAAAGACTTAAACCTTGAACCTGTGAAACTACTAGAATGAAAAACATAGGGGAAAAGCTGCAGGACACTGTTCTGGGGAATGATTTTTTGGATACAACTTCCAAAATTGAGACAATGCAAGCAAATTAGAAGGGGAGGGTTATATTAAGCTAAAAAGGTGCACAGCAAAGAAAAATATCAACGAAATCTACAGAATGGTAGAAAATGTTTGCAAACCATATATTTTTTATGCAGGTAATATCCAAAATATTTGAAAAACTCAATAATAAGAAAACATAATACAATTTAAAAATGGGCAAAAAATGTGAAGATATTTCTCAAAAGAAGGTACATATGAAAAAATGCTCAACATCACTAATCAGGAAAATGCAAATTAAAATCACAAGATATCACACCTTGCCTGTTAAAATGGCTATTATCAAAAAGACAAAAAATAACAAATATTGGCAAGGATGCAGAGAAAAGGCACCCCCCCCCCCCAAACTGCTGCTGGAAATGTAAATTAGTGACACAAAACAGTGGGCTTAAGTTTCCTTAAAACAACAAAAACAGAGCCACCTGACCAAGCAATCCCACTTCTGGGTATATATCCAAAGAACTGTATTGTGTGTGCCCCATGTTGCTTTCTGTCCTGCTGGGGATTGAACCCAGGGCCTCACACACTCTAGGCAGGTACTCTACCACTGAGCTAGACCCCCAGCCAGCCAATCCTCTGTTTATGGCAGCACTACTCACATTAGCCAAGACAAGGAATCAGCCTAAGTGCCCTATGAGATGAACAGATAAGGAACATGCAGTGCATACACATGCAGTGGAATACTATTCAGCCTTAGAAAAGGAAATCTAGTCTTTTGCAACAATATAAACAAACCCAAAAGACATTATGCTAGATGAAATAAGCCAGGTGCAGAGACAAATACTACATGATCTTACTCATATGAAATCTAAGATTGAACTCAAAGCAGAGTAGAAAGGCAGCTGACAGTGGGTGGAAGAAGGGATTTC